TGGATAAGTGGAACCATGGACTCCCGAGATTTGAGCTTGTGTGACTGAGAGGATGATGACATTGACAGAGATAGGGAAGTCTGAAGGTAGAAAAACTGTTGAGTTTGGTTTTGGAAGTACTGATAGGAAAGGCATATGCATATATGTGGATCTGGAGTTTAAAAGTGAGGTCAGGGTTGGAGACATAAATTTGGGAGTTAGCCCCATACACACTGAGACCTCGGGAGCCCATGCAACTGTCAAAACCAAGTTTTCTTCTTAAACCTCTTCTTCTGACTTAATACGTCTCTGGGATATAGTGCTGGTGGCTTATATTGAATTTTCCTTTAAAAAAAATTCTGTTGGCGATTGCTCTTGTCCCCATTAGGGCTCAGAGAGCTTAAGCAACCAAAGACTGAGAGCAGGAAGGGATGCTGGAGACATAGTCCAGTTCCTCCATGTTACAGACAAGGAAACTGAAACCAACTCCCTATGCCTGCATCTCAGGCCCTGCACAGCGAGCTTAGGATCACAGACTGCAAGCCAGAAGGGACGTCAGGGGCCCCTCCAGTCCACCCCCCCCTTATTGTGCAGACGAGGAGGGTGAGGCACTCTCCTGAGGTCACACACACCCCTACTTAAGTGGCAGCGCTGACATTCGAACCCAGGCCCCGAGGCCAAATCCTGCGCTTTGTCCAACACGCCAAACTGACTCTTCTACACCCAGCTCCCTCCCGCTTCTCCTCCCCCTCCCCATCCCCATCCCTTAAGGAGAACACAAACAAATCCCTCCCTCCCCCAGGGGAGCCAGATGTACGTGCAGGTGGAGCCGGACCACGCCCCTCCCCCGCCCCGCGTCATAGCGCCCCCTGCTGTCACACCTAGCCAGGCCACAGACACCCCCTACCCCCCGTTTCTCGGTCAAGGTTTCGAGCCCGGCCCCGCCTCCCCGGGGGCGGGGAGCGGGGCGGCGGCGGGCTAGGGAAGGGATGGAGGAGGATAGGAGGACGGCTGGGGGCCGGGATGGCGGAGCGATGACGACGGCTACGGAGCCCCCGGCGGCGCTGGGAGCCAGGACGGCCCCCTCCTCTCTCCTCCCCGAGGGTGGCGTGGAGGCTGAGAGGTCCGCAGCCCACGGGAGGGGAAGGGGTGAGGGGGCTTGGGACAGGGGGGACGCCCGGCCTCGGCCGCAGCTGTGCCCGCGGGAGGTGGTCCCTGCCCGGCCCCAGCCGTTACCAACAATCTTCCCTCCCCCGGGGGGCCGGAGCCCCGCGGTCGCGGCGGAGCGCGCACTGACCTGAAAGTGCAGCGCCATCTTCCCGAGAGGCGGCGCCCGCCCGGCCAGGAGAGCAGACGGAGGCAGGGCACGGAGCAGGGGGCGGGGCACGGAGCAGGGGGTGGGGCGTGGCGGGGGGCGTGGCTGGGGGGCGTGGCGTGGCAGGGGCGGCTCAGGCCGGGCCCGCAGAGACAGTGAGAGAGAGCAGGGTGGAGGCGGGGCGCGGGCCCCACCCTGAGACAGAGTGGTGGAGGCGGGGGGGAGGGCGGGGAAAGGGGCGGGGCGGATCTGGCCGGTGGGAGGGAGGGGGCGGGCGCGAGGGCGGGGCCTCCGCCAGGGCTCTCCGGCTTGGCCCGTCAGGCTTTGGCCGCGGGGCGGCGCTCTGTCGGCAGCGCAGGGAGTCCCCAGGCTGCCCAAGGCCATCGTGGGGCTCCGACCCCAGCCTGGGGCCACCCGACTCCGGCCACCCTTCCTATCCACCGCAGCCTCACTGCCGTCTCAGGCTGTCATCCCCTGGTTTCCTTCAGGGTCCCTCGGCCTTGTTTGTGTCGTGGACCCTCCCTCCCGCAGGCTGGGGAAGCCCGCGGACCCCCTCCCCGTCCCGCAATCGGGTTTTTAAGCGCACGAGAGAAACGCAGAGGCTTACAAAGAGCCCAGTACACTTAGCGAAATAAAGGGTGTTTTTAATCGTAGCCCCTACCCCCGCTAAGACCCCCTGTTTTCTGTCCTTGTTCTGCTTAACCCTCCACTTCCCCTTAGAGAGCAGAACCAGGAGCATGGAAGGCGAACTCAGTCTTGACAAGAAACATTACCCGATGATTGAAACCGTTTTGTTTTTGAAAAGCGGAACGTGCTTCCTTGGGAAGTGGTGAGCTCCCCACGCTGGAGGTCTGCCATCGTGCCCGGCTGGGCGGCCACCTGTCCGGAGAGGATAGAAGGGGCTTCTTATCCGGGTCAAGGTGGGGCCAGACACCTCTGAGGTCCTTCCCGACTCTGGGATGCGGAAATTTCAACCATCATTTTAAAACTGGCTGAACGCCCTTTCCAGGACCCAGCCCCCCGAGCCCCGCCAGCCCCCTCAGCCCTGCCTGCGCCTAAGGCCAGGCAGGACCTAGGATTCCGTCCAGATCTGTCCTGGCCCGCGTGCAGAGAGGGCTCTGGTAAAGTAAGGGTCAGCCACCTTGGGACACGAGGTCGAGCTTTCCAGGGCACTCAGAAGGGAAGATTCGGTTTTCTGTTGTTTTCCTCCTTTAAAAAACGTGAGTACCTTCTTTAGGTGTCAGTGTTCAGTAAAACTTCTCTCACCTTCCCTTTTGTCCCACAAAAAGTGAATCTGATTCAAAACCTTTTTAGTCAATTAATAGTATTTCAGATGGAATTATGTCACTACAGCGGTTTAAATTAATACAAAGATTGGAAATGATGCTTCAGGACTTTGAGTAATTCATTCTTGTTATAAAACTCAATTAAAGGTTGGACTTTCTGAGCCCTTGGGAAGGACAAAATTATTTTCATTTCTGGCAACCATCCGTTTAAAAAAAGGCATATATGGCTCTTTGGGCTCAGCAATCTTGTTGGGAGAAGGGGGATTCAGAGGTTTGAATTTGTTCATGTGGGTTCTGTGTGACCTTAGTCAAGTCACCTAACTTCTCTGCATATTTACAAGATGGGGAGAGGGGAGAATATATTAACTAAATCATTCAAAGAATTTTGCAAACAACATAAAATGGGTACAAATTGTTTTGTTTTATGTACTGTATTAAATACATTTCTGAAATTAATTGAATGAAGTTTTAATCAGGTAAATTGTCAGTTATCCAGGGCTTGATCCAGTTCATAGATTTTTCATCTAATTAGACTTTTCCCATTCCTGCATCTTCTCAAGCTCTGAGAATTTTAGAGGTGCTAATGAATTAGGTGTTTGTCAGGGTTCTTTTCATATACTCTGAAGCCCAAAATTCTCTATTCTGGGCAAGATGAAGCAAAATGCTCATTCCACCAGGATCTGACACATATATCTGGAGTGCAGAAAATCCTATATTAGCATCTTGGGCAAGGTTTCTGAAAACATAAATATCAAATCTTGAATTCTTATACACATATTGTAATTGTAGCAAGACTATACTGTTATGTTCAGTTTTAAGAGTCCAGCAGAGGGCAGGCAGGGGAGAGCAATGAGTGGAGAAGTTCATGTAACTTCAGGAACACATCTATAATTGAACTTAATTCTTTCAATCACTTAAATATCTTAATATGTTTTAAAATGTAAAATATGGAAGATAAATTGACAGATGTTAATAATTCCTGTACTCCAACACAATAAAAAATTAAGTAATTTGGTTTGCTCATTTAAATAACATACATTATTTACATATGACCCCTTCAAATCTTAATGAACTGTTTATTGATTGTTTAGGGAAAAGTAGCAGTTCTTTGGTGTGATGTCATGAACAACTAAAACTGCAGCTATAGGACAGTTAAACCTTGTATGCTGACTGAAAAAAAAAAGTCAGCATGAATAACATTAAAAGGGAAGTCTTCCTCTAATGTCTCAACATGAGGCAGAGGTCACCATGGCAGGCCTAACAAGCTAGAAAGCCTTTGAGTGTGGAGTCCTAGCCTGCTTGTACTTTATGTGTCAATCCTCCACTGATTAGTTCAGTTAAGTTCAGAGAGGTTAATGACCAGAAGTTTGGCTACAAGGCAATGAACTTTTTTTTTTAACAATGGCAAAATCATGAAGATTATCTACTAAGATATAAAGGGTTGCAATCTGTGGGTGAAGATGTATGACTATCTGCATTCGTGTTAAGTATGCACAGATATATGTGTATGAGATGGAATCCTATTTAAAAAACAGAAACAAAAACCAACCTGAAATAGACTAAGTGACCTGAAAAGAATTGAAAGCATGAACATATGCCAAGGACAGAGAAGTAGGCTAGAGAAAAAAGAATAAAACATAGGCATATTTTATGACCATGGTTGCTTCTCAGAAATAGGCTGTATCTAAATGTCAAGTATTTTCTTCTAAATGATATCCATAAAAGACACTTGGGAATTGAAAAAGGGAACGATCATGGTTAGTTATTTTAAAAACAAAATTAATTTAGATTAAAATTTAAATAAGGTCACTTGTATAATTTACTTTTAACAGTAAAAATTTGCTTTGATTTTTTTCATGCTTGTCTTTCTCCTCAGTCTTATACCTCCAAATTTTCCTGGTTTTGGAGGGAAAAAAATGCTTGCAATAGGGCATAAAAGTGCTCAGTCAACCAGGCAACCTTTTCATAATAAATACCTAAAAAAATGAATAGCCAAAACATCCACTTTCTTTTCTCTTCTTTCCAGTGACAGTCTGGGGATGATGATAAAGAAGATTTCAATAGCAGTGCCTATGTTATTCATTTTCTATAGGGAAAAAAAATAATTTATTTGGTAGAGAAAAGTGGATTTATCTCATTTACAAACAGGCTACTGGGGCACCACCACATTTATTTATTTGTTTGTTTGTTTTGAAGATTAGCATGTTGAACATCTATGGTAGGAATTATAGGATCATAGATTTAAAGGGGAAGTGACCTCAGAGTCCATTCCCTCTCATTTTATAAATAAGGAAAAAGTGAAAAGTGACTTGCTCAAGATCATACAGGTGCTAAGAGAGAGAGAGAGAGAGAGAGAGAGAATTTGAATTGAAGGCCCACGTGAAATTGCCTTCTCCTTAAGCATGCAAACATTGCCTTCAACTTCTTTATATCGCCCATGGCACTGAGCCTTTTGAGGTGCTTAGTAAACATGTTCACTTTCACTTTCCTTACTTCCAAGATCGGTTAAAGATATACTAAGTTCCCATCTGAATTCACAGAGTACAAAAGTGAGGGAGACATGGACAGATGCTCTCATGAAAGACCAAAAATTTTAACTGGTTTAGAAAGTGATTGTATTTGATATTTTTACAGGATATTTTACTTTACTAATTACAAAGGTAAATCTAATGATATAGAGGAAAATGCAATGGAATAGAAGACAGAAGACTTGAGTTCTATTCATAGGTCTTCCATAAAGAACCATTGTGACCTTGAGCAAACCCCTTCCATTCCCTATATCCTCATTTTTAAAATGAGATTTTACTCAGTGTCCACAGTACCTATAAGTAGAAGGCATTTTAGAGGTCATCTAGTCCAGTCCTCTAATTTCCAAGGTCTCTTTCAGGTCTAACATTCTTGACTAACTCTGTATAATTGAGATTAGAAATGGAATCTCTGTTTTCAAATCAGTTTGTTTCCTTCTTCATAGTCTCCAGATTCATATTCTTCCTCTTCTTCCACAGGATCATAATATTTCCAGAGCCTGTGTTGGAACTTCCAGTTCTGTTCCTTGTGATGATCTGATATCTAGATGATGAACCTATACACGCAACAGATTAGAAATTTCATAAGTGAAACAACAAAATCAGTAACAGAAATTATGTAAAATCATCATTCTAGTGAATAGAACTCTGAGTGACATATTGGACATATTTCCCCATCTTTATGAGTAAGCACAGGTAGACTATAGATACTGACAATTCAGATTCACAGTCAGATGATGATCCGCTATCCTGAATCAGTTTCAGCAGTCAAACAATAAGCACAATCCACAGCTATGCGCTCATAATCTCTATTCAGACTTAATGAAAATGGGCTAGGTATCATTATGAGAAATGATAGGGTATGTGCATCCAGACTTTAATGCAATGGATAATTTAGTTCCGTTTAAGATAGAAACTAAGACATATAGTAAGGATAGTTTTACTCTTCACTGTCACATTAATGCTATACCCCTTCTGTTTTAGAGTCCCTTAGGGAATTTCAAGTGGTTCTCAAACTGTCCCTGTTAATTAACAGGTAATATTGGGCCCATTTGACCAGAAGGGTCTATGAATCAAAATAACAAATTATTGAGCACCTACTTTGTTCAAGACAAAGTGTTGCAGGGGATTAAAAAAAACCAAAAACCTTATAGGCCAAGATCTTTCCTATCAATAAGTTTAGTATCTGGTTAAGGAAAGGTAATCATGAGATAAGAGTTCTGTGAAATATGAAGTTTTCAGAAGGAAATCTGTCATTAATTACTAAGCAAAAGTCAGAGAAAGTAAATACCATAAGAATTCAGAGATAAAGAGATGATTTTGGACCTGAGTGGTCTGGGAAGTGTCTATGGAAGAGGAAGGAATCAAATTGTCTTGAATTTGCAGGATTTGAATAAGCTAACAAGCAGGCACGTGATGAGAGAGATTTTAATCTGGGGGGACAGTTATGGACGAAAGAGGGAAGATAGCAAAGTACATGTTTTAGGGGACAGTGAAATGATTAGTTTTAGTCAGAATAGGAAGTATAAGAAGATGAAAGACATGGTTAGAAAAGTAGTATAGGTCTAGATTGTAGAGTACAATGAATATAATATAAGGATACATCACCAAGCTCTATAGATTCTGTTGGTAATAGGGAGCCAAAGATAGTTTTTGAGCAGTAAAGTGATACGATAAGTAAAATATGTTACAAAGATTAATCTGGCAGTGGTGTGTGGCATGGATGGAGGCACTTTCTGGGTATGGAAACCAGTTAGGATACTGTCACAGTAATCCAGCTACAAAGTGATAAGAGCCTAAATTACAGTGGAATCAGTGGTGAAGCAAGAGAAAGGTGTAAGAAACATTTCAAAGGAAAATTCAGGTTTGATTCTATTAGTTTAAAATAGGTTATTAAAAAAAACACAGAAACCAAATATAGTAAGACTTCTTTTTAAGTGTATCTATTTTTTAAAAGGTCATTTACCAGGATTGATAATTTTTAGTCTGGCAGATGCATAAGCTGTGCCATATTTGTTTCTGGTATGGCAGATATAAACACCTTCATCTGATTTCCTGATCCCTTGAATTTGTAGCCATCCTGTCACACCATATTTCTGAGGTCCACCTCTCACCTGTTAGGAGATACTTTTTAATGATTCAGTGAATAAATAGATAGATGCATAAATGTATCCACCAAAAGAGTCAAAAAAGTCAGAAGACAGGTAAGGTAGCTACTATGTGTAAGTTACTACTCCAAGCACTGCAATGCAAAGATAAAAAATAAAAACATTTGTAGCAAATAATTTCTATTTTACCAGGAGGATTTAAAATGCTGTTAGAGGCATTTTGTGTAAGGTAGGGACAGAAGGTAACAACAAAGAGATTCAAAGTGTTCTAAGGAATGTTTGAAGGGAAGAATAAAAATAGATGAGTAAATCAGACAAGTCTTCACTGGGTAGATGGAAGGAAGATAGGAAATCTGCAATGTAGAGATGAGGAGGAAGTGCATTCCAGGAAGATGACCGTCTGTGCAAATGTCTGGAGGTGGGCAGTGACATGTTGAGTTCAGGGAGCCATTAGTAGTTCAGTGTGGCTGGAATGTAGAGTTTCTGAAATGAAGTAATATAAAAGAAGGATAGAAAGATAGCTTGAAGACATTGTGGAGGGTCTTTAAACAGGCTAAGGAGTTTGTATTTTTATGCTATAGGCAATAGGGTGGCAGTGGAGATTCGTGTTTTTATTGTTTTTGTTCTTTAATCAGGGTTGTAACGTGGTTAGAACTGTGTCTTAAATAGATTTTGTTGGCAGTGGTATGCAGGCTGGTTTGGAGACAGGAGAGGCTAGAGGCAGGAAAAATCAATTAAGAGACTATTGCATAGTCCAGGGGGTGGTAGAAGTATGAACGAAGAGGATGTGCCTTGACTCAGCTTTTTGTGATTCAAGACTTAAAATGTGACTTGATATTCAATGAAAAGCCTAAAAAGTAAGTTGACTTAAGTTTTTACAAATTTTACGCTTATCACATTTTTTTTATTCCATAACTGTTAGAGAAGGCTTCTAAAGAGACACATTTGCTGGACAGTGGTAATTTTAGAACGTTGTAACAAGTTTTGTTCTGAAGATCTTGTTATTCTTGAGTTGGGCAAGATTTAGAGTTCTTGACTTTCAGTTGTCTCTACTACTAAAGCAGCAAAAGCGCTGTTTAAATTCTCTACCTTTACTATACTAGAAGGCAAGACACCAGCTTTCCCTGATGTGACATGACATTGGGGTACCTTCAGAGATTTCTATGGGAAGCTTCAAGGGATGACAGGTTGTGGGACTGACTTCAAATATAATGTGAGAATAGGTCAGGAATTCTTTACGTATTATCAGAATCTTCCTACAGCCTCCTCTTCTAAATCAAGTTCAGTGAGACAATGGATTTGGAGTTAGAGATTCAAATACCAGCTCTGTCTATTTAGTAGCTATGGGACCTTGGACAAGTTTCCTGACAGGACCTCAGTTTCTCAATCTGTAAAATGAGATTAGACTAAGCTTACTTCCAACTTTAAACTTATGATCCTATGACTGATTATATTACCCAAGTCTTCGCTCATCACTAGGAAACCTCTACAGTGATAATGACTTGGAGGTACAGCGAACATGGTTATAATGGCTTGTAGTGTACCTCTTTCTTATCCCATAGTCAATCTACTGGACAATTATTGCCTTCTGGGACGGTCTGTGTTACAAATGAAAACATTTTTAAAGAGCTAGTGTTGTATAGTGAAAAAAATGTTGATTTTAGAGCCGGAAGAACTAGACTCTCATCCTGGGCTTTTAATTTCTGATCCTCAATTTCCTTATCTGTAAAATAGGAATAATACTTATATTAAATTTTAAAGTTCTAACAGAAATGTGAATTGTTTTTAAGGTACCAAAAGTTTTATAATAATATGATTAATGTAATTCAAATATTTATTGAGCATCTACATACAATTGAATGGCACTATACGAAGCCCCAGCAATTATTGTACCTGGATTGAAATGTGTGTATCATCACCAGGAAGGAAAATTTTTTCCCCTTTTTTCTTCCATTCCAGGTATGGTATTGGATAGGCTGAAACTTCACATCTAAAAATGATGTCGTTTCCCATAAAGTTTTCAGTATTTTGAGGTGCCAAAGAAATAACAGGAGCTAGAGGAAAAAAAAATTAAAGATAGAAACCTGCCAAAATTTTCACTGGCATCTAAAAAACATTTTGAAAGTTTTTCCTATGTGACAGTACATTTGGCAAAGAGTATAATTTACAATAAAATTGTAATACTTTAAAATAAAAATTGGTAAACATTGAAATTTTTTCAAGATACATAATAAATTAATCTTCACCTATATGCTCTACGAATATGCAAGTGTGGAATTTAAGTAATATAAGGTTTTATTCCTAAAATGGAAGGAAACTTCAGTGTAAATACTTGCTCAAAGGGGAATAACATTTGTTTCTTTGTGTTTTATTTAGTATTGTAAAGGACTTTGTAAAATATTCTAAGAACTTTGGTGAAAACAAAAGTTATAAATTATAATGTAGTAATAATAACAATACTTTATATTTGCATAGCACTTTAAGGCAAAAAAAAATCCATTTGCATTATCTGTTTGAACCCCATAATTTTGGATTGGGGCCTAGATAGGGCAAATATATTTGCCATTTTTCAGATGAGGAAACTGAAGTTAAACGATTTGCTGAAAGTCATAAGTGGTAGGGACAGAATTTGAATCCTGCCATATAACAGGTCAGAGGAGAGCAAAATGAAGAAAAGAAAATAATTTTAAGGCTTTATAAGGATGGGGTGACTAAGTTTACTTAACTCATCTCCACTTAAAGTTAGTGATAAGATGTCCAACTGATCAATCTCCTAGGCCTTAGACCAAGTATGGGAAAGTCTTTTGAACAGTAGTGATGAAAGAGTTGTGTTCCAATAAGCTGAGGAAGTTTATCTCCTCTCTCCCACAAGTTCCTCTACAAATCAGCAAACTAGTTACAACCACGTTGGAGTGAATGTGGTATTCTAGCTGAACCCCTAGAGAAAGAAGCTCCTACTAGGGAAGGAAAGGCCTTAGCTTAGGCCTTGTCAGATCTTTGTCCCAACCCCACCCCCTGACCAGGACTTTGGGACATTCTGAGATTCTGGAAGATTCTGGACTTCCCATTTTCCCATCAGTGTCCTAGAAATAGCCCTGGGTCAACTGACATCACTATCTGCACTGCAAGCCAAAGACAGATGGACCAAGATTTGCCACACTTAAGATTAGCTTCTTGAGCATCTTACAAAGGGCAGGATTTAGGTGCCATGAGTTACCCCTTTGTTACAAGTATTCAAGTATTTGCTACAATTATACGAGAGGGTGCCCAGCCTCTCCTGGATTCTCTATGTACTTGTGGGAAATTGTGTCACAGAACTGGGGGGAGGTTGGCACCCACTGTTTACCATCTTAATAAATACCCCTTTCTAAAAGCTGTGTAGGGTTGGCTAACTAAATCACTTCTCGATTTGGTTCTTCGTCTTGAGTATAAGTCCACGAGCTGGACCACAGCTGATGACATTAAAAGAATAACTTCTCAGGGGGAACCCATAGAACTCTGAAGAGAGGATATAGCCAGGCTCTAAGAACCTGTCAATGGGAGTGAGGTCACACAAGGACCTCTGAAAGCATACATGGTCTATGGCTAGGATAAGTGCCATTTATGTCAGACTGTGATAAAAAGCAAAAGCTGGTCTTCTAGACCAGTAGTTTCAAAACTTCTTTGATCATACAACATTTAAGCAAACAAACTTTTGATGCTTCCCTAATATATGTATATTTACTTATTAATAAATTATATGACATGATCTTTGATACTCTTAATATGTAGAGATATATGACACACACAACAAAGACAATTTTTAAAAAATGTAATGAAGAAATAACATTTTGCTTAATGATAGAAAAATTTTTTTTTGGTCTCATTAAATGAGACCACTATGATTATGTTTCATGTTTTTTAATATCTTGATTTAACACTTTGTGACTTAGTGATTTAAGGATCTGATTTTAAGTTGTTTATTTTGATATTTGGTTTTAATGGTGACCATACCTAAAAAAGATACCTCACAAAGATATGTAGTTCTAAATGGAAGAAATGCATCTTTCGTTAATCCTTGATACTCATTTTCCAATCCCATCCATTAGGTATAAAATTTTATTTTTTATTTTTTAAATTTGGCATCTGGTAACTTTGAAGAGAGCAGTTTCAATTTAGGAAACTGCAAGGATACTAATGCTTTTGAGAGAAACAGGCAAGTTGGGTAGAATGTTATATTTTGGAAGAAAGTTAACACAAAGAGATCTGCAATGTTAACTCATGTATGTCCTTTCCATCTTGTGCAGCTCACTCAATCCCACTGAAAACAATAGGGTGAGGAAAGATTTTTACCAGCAACTGCCAGGGTGGTAATGCAGTCTGCCTTTGGGGCTGTCACCTAACACAGAAGGTGAGAGGTTTCAAGCTTGTGCAGCTACAGTGAGCCAGCTGTGCAAGGTAGAGTTGATGACCAGCTCATTTTCTATGTCCTAGAGCCATCCCTAATTTGGCCCAGCTGAAAGTAATTTCCAATTTCTCAATTTTTTTTTTTGTAGAACTGATCTATCCTTTCCCTATATCACATTTGACCTTGTGTTATGTTTATTTGAGAATAGATTGGGTTTCCCCTCTGCCACACACACCTATGTTCCTCCCACACTTAAGAGTGTAAACTCTATGGGCTGGGACGCATCGAGATTTTCATCTTTGCATTTCCACTAGCTTACACATGCTAAAATTCTTGATAAATATTTGTTGAATTTAAATACTAGAATGAAAGAAGACAAAGAGCAGGTTTATAGATTAAAGTGATATGAGAGATGGAAGAGCTAACAATTATGCTTCAAGAAGGGAATTTCAAAATTCAGGACATTGGAAGTGAGACTGTTTCAGGTGACAGTAAGATACAAGAAACAATCACCCCTATAAGTGGCTGAGGTAGAATAGGGATGGAGAATATGGGAGCTGAGCAGAAGGATAAACTAATGATGATGGGAGGCTTATCAACATGAATTTTAAAAGCCTCACGGCTGATGGTTGGGTGGCAAGGAAGGACTGTAAGCCAGGTATTGACAATGTTTCACAGAGTAGGTATTTAATAAATTGTTATTGTATAACTGAATCATTGTAACTAATGGCTGTTAAATACTAACAGTGGTCTGCTCTTGATAAGATTTTACATTCTGAAGCTGCAGTTTTCCAATGCTAAGTGTTTTTCATTAGTGCTTATCTCAGGCAATCTTAAGGGCCCATCAGTCAATTTAGCATTAAAGTAATCTTTCTTTTATCTGTAAGAAGACAGAAATGCCAATGCCAAAGAATACCAAATAAAAACTCAGATATCACATAAATTCCTTTTTCAAGAGAAGAAAAATATGAAGTACATTATATTGCCCTTGAAAGTACCAAGTTTTTTTACATCTAATCAAAAATAAAGGAGATAAGACATAAAGCAACAGAATGGACTGTTGTTAAATGTATGTTTCTTCACATTAGGGGGCACATTTTATGCCAGGAAACTCATAAAGAGCAGATGATTTAACTCATTTCAAGGATTGCCACAGACCAATGTACAACCAGTATTCTTATTCTCCCATTGGTGCTATATGATATGAATCATGGACTATCACAATCTCTGAAGCTTCAGAATTACAGATGACCCAAAAGAGCAATGGAAAGATGCATGGAGTGTTTAAGTAGGCAGCAACATATTACTAAAGAGACTTTATGTAAGAAATACCACAAAAGATATAATGAAGGACATACATGACCAGAAAATGTGGCAGGCCATATAAAGAGAGGAAGGAAGAATAGCTAGTCCTGACTGATTCTCTGTCTCATTCCCCTCGGCCTACAAACTAGGGGTCATCCTTTAGTCCTCCCTCACTCATTCAATATGTTTAATGTTCCTAAATCTTGCCTTTTCTTCCTAAACATCTCTTTAACATATTACCTCATCTCCACTTACATAACCACCACCCTAATGACAAGGCATGAACCACCTCTTGCCTAAAGTATTGTGATAGACTTTTAATTGTTCTCCCTGCTCCACCCAATTGCTACCAACATAATTTTCCTAAAGTATACCATATCTTTCTTCTTTCCAACTCAGTGAGCTCCAATGGCTTCTCATTAACTGTAGGATCAAATATAAAATCCTGTTTGGCATTTTAAAGCCCTTCACAATGCGGAGCCTTTCATAACTTTCCAATTTATTTTGTACCTCTCCTCGCTCTCTGATCCAGCTTCACTGGCTTTCTTGCTATGGCTACGTGAAACCCCATTTGCCGTCTCTGTAACTTTTTACTAGCTGTTCTCCTTGCTTGAAAAACTCTCCCTCTTCACCTCTAGCTGATGCCTTTCAAACTCCACCTTCTGCAGGAGACCTTTCCCAATCTCTTCAGCCTTCTTCTCTGAAATTACCTTTCAACTACTTTGTATGAACCTACGTTCCTCCCTTAGAATATGAACTCCTTGAAAGGGAGAGGTAGAATGGGGGCAAATTATCTCACGTAGAAGAGGCAAAAAGCTTTTTCAGTAGAGGGGAGTAGAGGGAGGAGGTGAGAGGGAATGAGCAAATCTTTCATCAGATTTGGCTTAAGAAAGGAATAACACACACTCAATTGGAATATTTTGGAAATCAATATGGAAAAATATCTTACCCTACAGGAAAATAGGGGGAAAGGGGATAAGGGTGGGGGATGGCAGAAGGGAGGGGATAATCAGAAGCAAATATTTTTTGTGTGTGTAAGAGGCAATTGGGGGTTAAATAACAGCTAGTGAGTGTTATGTGTCTCGGGCCAGATTTGAACTCAAGTCCTGCTTCCAGGGCCAGTGCTCTATCCACTGCTCTACCTAGCTGCCCCTGAAGCAAATACTTTTGAGGAGTGACAGGGTCAAAGGAGAGAATAAAAATAAATGGGGGATGGGATAGAATGGAGAGAAATATAGTTAGTCTATCACAACATGACTATTATGGAAGTGTTTTGTATGACTACACATGTATAACCTATATCTAATTGCTTGCTTTCTCAATGAGAGTGGGTGGGAAGGGAGAGAATTTAGAATTCAGAGT